GCAATAACCCCCCATCGGCCTTCTCTGCCCCTTGAAGTCCCAGCCCCTCCACTTCGCTGCCCCTCGCTGTCCCAGCTCTCCACTTCGTTGCCGCTTGCTACTGGCCCCTCCAACCACTTCCCTATCTGTTGTCACACGGTTTCCCCTTGAAGTCCCAGCCCCTCCACTTCGCTGCCCCTTGCTGTCCCAGCTCTCCACTTCGCTGCAGCTTGCTACTGGCCCCTCTAACCACTTCCCTATCTGTTGTCACACGGTTTTCAACCACCTCTAAGTTGTTGCCGCACCTGCTAGCCACATCCAACCTGCTGTAACCCCCTTCCAACCCCTACAACCTATTGTCGGCCCACTTCAGTCACTACAACATGCTGCCAGCTTCTTTTCCAGCCACCTCCCACTTACAACCATCCCCTTCCAACCACCTACTGCTTGTTGTATTTAGATGACATGCAAATATCAATGACATAAACTCAATATGATTAATTAAACTTAAAGAGCCAGTAAAATCTATTTAAGCAAGTCATAGTGCAAATTAGATTTAGGAGAAATCAAATATTCCTATAATTTAAAAATATAAGTACTTACCCCAATAACGAATGATTCTCTTAAAAATCATTCTCTTCACTTTTCTCCAGTGAAAACCTATAGTCAAAATGCATAATGAATTATTAGTAAGTTATTATATGTTAATCTTATTATTAAAATAAATTAGTCTTTATTTTACCTTTGATGTATCATTTATTAATAATTACTTTATTATTACTATTATGTCAAATGTTGTCTTCATCTCATAATATAAATTTAATTATTTATTTCAAGAATTTAAACTTAATGAAATTTTGGCCAAAAAAAAAAGGTCGATCCTCCTAATTTGACTTCATAGTTATTTTATGTAATTTATATCTTTTCAAATAGGTTTTAAGAATATATCAATATACATACATTAATATTATGTAACAATTTATTATTATTATTATTATTATTATTATTATTTATTCACATTAAATTCATTATATGTAACATTAATTCATAAAATTAACAAATAATTAAAAGTTAAATAAATCATACCCTAACCTTTATTTATTGCAGTCGATCTTTCCTCAATCCAAATATGGATATTCTCTATCTTGAATCCTGACATAATTAAATTTGATTATTTAACATTTAATAAATATATATATCTAAATTAAATATGTTAATTTATATGATAAAACTATAGCTTACCTTATAAATGCTCGGTTCGGCTTCTCCTGTGCTGCCACAATACTCTTCTATTTCCAATGATAACATTATTACCCAATTATTATAACATAATAATTCTTTAACTTCAATTATAAAATCATCCTTACCTCTGATCACGCCTAAGACACTTCTCCTCTGCGCTTGGAACCCACTGGAAAACTCGCACGAGCTTCTTCTCATTGGCTCCGCCTCTCTTTTTTTCTTCTTATGCTCGAAGCCACAAAATCATTGCTTCTCCTCCTCTATGTGAGCGCAGCGCCTCTCTTCCACTACGCGAGTGCAACGCCTCTCTTCCTCTTCCTTTATGGAATCACGGCGTCAAAGCTCCTCCTTCGTTCTCTACCTTCAGTGTTGTTTGATTATGCTCCTTAATGCAAATTGTTGGCTCGCTCCTCCTCCTTCACACGTTGCCAGTGCATGGAGCCAAAACTTCCATCTTCCCTCTTAACTTCGATCAACTTGGGTTCGGATTGACCCGCACAAATGCATAAGGTGCTTCCTCCTGTGGCTTTGATGTATTCCATTGCACGCAAAGAAACCCTCAATGTCTACTCCAACAACTTCTTCTTCTTCCTTCTTCCCTTTGATTTCTTCATCTCCTCTTCCTTCTACTCTGCTCTCTCTCTCTCTCTTTATTTGTTAAGAACAAAGGAAACTATTCTTAAATGCTTAAAGATGAACAAGACTGTCGGGATGATTTATTGAACCCTTGCCACCGTTTAAAATCTTATTTTATTTTATTTATTTATATTTTTTATTTTGTTACTGGTTATAACATTCTAGTCCCTACAACCTACCGCCACCTGGCCCACCTCCCACCTACCATCGTCCCCTTCCAACCACCTACCACTTGTTACCACCCTTCCAACCACCTCTGACCTACTTGAGTTACTAATTCCCCTTAAACCACAGTACCGTCGTCTTTGCCCTCAGCCCTAATTGGGTCTTGTTGTGTCTTTGTTGTTTCCTAGTTTCAAGCGTCTCTGATTGTAACCGTTATTTTCTTTTGAGTAATAATACTTGTTTTCCCTATTAAGGTTTGCGTTAACTCCAGTATCATTTGATATATTCGTGTTGCGTCTTTGTTGTTTGTTAGTTTCAAGACAGTATCATTTGATATATTCGTGTTGCGTCTTTGTTTGTTAGTTTCAAGCGTTTTTTATTTTAACCTCTATTTACTTTTGAGTAATAATATTTTTTTCCCTATTGGAGTTTGGGTTAACTCCGGTATCAGTCTAGCCCCTCAATTTTAGAAGAAAATTTATGTATAGAGTCAAATCCCAATATACTGTATATCAAAATAATCAGACACTATAGGGAAACAAAATTATTACAAAAACAACAAACCTTTGTCCCACTTAGTGCAGTCACCTACATGACTGTTTTTTCTCCATTGTATCCTATTGAGTGTCATATTTTCATTTAATTTTAATAATCTAATATCATTTTTATACAACATGCCCGAGTCGTTTTAGGTTTACCACTATCTTTCTTAACATAAGTTAAATTTAAAACATTTACTCTCTTAATAGGGTCATCAAATGGTCGATGTTTCATGTGACCAAATAATCTAAGGCGACTCACTCAAATCTGGCTTGTCACAAGAGCTACTCCAACCCTTTCACGGACATATTTGTTTCACATTTTGTCTCTAGGTGCAAAACAACCCACTCATCCCCCTAAGCATTCTCATCTCAGCAGCAACAACAACAAGCCTTTGTCCCACTATATGGGGTTGGTTGCATGAATCATGTTTCTCCATTATATACTATTGAATGTTATATTTTCATTTAATTCTAATAAATTAAGAACATTTTTCATACAACAAGCCCGAATCTTTTTAGATCAACATCTACTTTTCTTAACATAAGTCAAATTTTAAATATTTACACTCATAATATGGTCATCAAATGATCGATGTTTAATGCGACTAAGCTATCTAAGGCGATTTTCTCTAATTTTGTTTGTCATTAGAGCTACTCCTACCCTTTAAGAGATAAAATTTATTTTGTATTGTCTCTAAGTGTAAAGTCACTCATCCACCTAAGCATTATCATCTTAGCAACACTTAATATTATGCTTTTGTTTTACAGGCCAACATTTTACACCATAAAGCATTGCAGTTCTCACCATCGTCTTATAAATTTTTCCTTTAAGCGATACTTTTCTATCACACAATAAGCCTGATGCATATCTCTATTTCAACCAACCAACTTGAATTCTACTAATAAAATCCTCATTGATATCACCATCACTTTGAACAATAGATTTGAGATATCCAAAATGTTCGTTCTTTCTAATGACTTGATTACCAATTGCTATAACCCCGCCACAAGATCTATTACTACTAAAATTATATTTCATGTATTCAGTTTTAGATCTACTCAAACGAAAGCCTTTGGATTCTAAAGTTAACCTTCATAAATCAAGTTTTTCCTAAACTCTCTCGTAGTTAACCTTCATAAATCAAGTTTTTCCTAAACTCTTTCGTTAGTCTTTTCCAAAAGAAGGATATCAATCAAGAAGGATATCATCAGTGAAAAGCATACACCAAGATACATCCTCCTGTAAATGTCCAGTAAGAACATTCATAAATAAAGCGAGGAAATATGGGCATAATGTAGATCCTTGATGTAAATTGTAATTTGACTAAAATACGAAAAATATTTGGTCAATCCTCCTTGTGTTCGAACGCAAGTAACAACTACAGTATAAATATCTTTAATGACTTGATTGTAAGTAATATGAAAACTTTTTTTCTCTAAAACTCTCATAAGTACTTCTATTGGAACGTTATTATAAGTTTTTTTTTTCTAAATCAACAAAAATCATATGTAAATCCTCATTGCTCTCTCTATACTACTCCATCAAACCTCTCTTAAAAGGAATTGCTTCCATAGTAGATTTGCCCGGCGTGAATCCAAATCGATTTTGAGAAATTTCTGTATCTAGTTGTAACGTATGTTTAATTATTCTCTCCCAAAAATTTAACGTATGACAAATTAATTTCTATACTTTACACTCATGTGCATCCCCTTTGTTCTTAAAAATAAAAATTAATATACTCTTTCTCGACTCATCGAACATCCTTTTAGTTTTAAAATAATATTAAAATATTTAGTAAGTCAATAAAATCTCAGATTTTCTAAACATTTTCATACTTCTATTGAAATAGTATCAGCTCCTATTACTTTTCCACGCAGAAAAAGTAAGTTATTATAAAATTAAAATGCAATAAATCATAAATCAACAAAATGAATGATCGTGCGATGAAATAAATACAAGACGTAAGATAACTATGTGCAACCATCTACCCAAAACCTCATGCTAATAAAGTGTAACAAAAACTTTATACCACACCACCCATGAAAATCATCAACATAGTCAAACGCATATCCATGGCTCACTCATTCGCTAAGGATTGCAAGATACATGATAAATATTATTCCATTATATTGACAATTCTTAGTCATTCTATATATAATGGATGTGCAAAAGGCACCACCAAAAATAGAACAAATCTATGCAACCAACAAAAAAAATCTTGGAATAATAGAGAATTTAAAACCGAAACTTTATAGCCAAATGTACAAATAGTCATTCTATATATAATGGATGTGCAAAAGGCACAACCAAAAATAGGACAAATCTATGCACCAACCAAAAAAATCTTGGAATAATAGAGAATTCAAAACCGAAACTTTATAGCCAAATGTACAAATAAGCATAGTTATGAGATAGAAGAATCCACACAACCAATGATTTAATTGGCAATCAATGTCAGATGAAGATCCATGATTCAATAGCCCATTTTGAGGCAAGACATAAAAAATCAACATGTTTTTTTCTCTTGACAACAACTACCAATATAATTCATAGAAATATTTAAATATTGCATGAGCATATTGTAGGAAAAAATAAAACATATATCCTAATCCTTGCAAAGGTTCCAGAAGAATAAAAGCAATAATACAACATCATATTAGATGTTGAATCACATAAATAATAAAAAAAATGCTCTTGTCAAATGAAGATCCATGATTAAATAGCTCATTGTGAGGCAAGACATAAAAAATCATCATGTTTTTTTTTTTTCTCTTGGCAACTTCGTGCAAAATAATTCAAAGAAATATTTAAACAATTGCATGAGCATATTGTAGGAAAAAAAGAAAACATATATCCTAATCCTTGCAAAGGTTCCAAAAGAATAAAATCAATAATACAACATCATATTCAATGTCGAATGACATAAATGATAAAAAAAAGTGCTCTTAGAGAGGGGGGAGGTGAAGGGGGGTGGGTAGGTATAAAAAATACTAAGTAGGCATACTTGTCGTTCAAGAAGCTGATTGTAGGTTCCCTTTATTGATACATCTTTTCCACTCTTTGGACTACCAAAAACTTGATATGGTAAGGGTGAGCTTGCGTCTGAAGCTGCCGCATCTATGACTCGATCATTCTCATATTTATACCTAGATGGGCAAGGCAAAAAGTCTTGTTACCCTAGCAGTTAAGCAAATCAATTAACTTCTATTGGAAATTAAAAATACAATTAACCAGATTGATTAAAAACAATGCAATTATCGACTAATATTACATATTAGATTTAACTCAAAGGCACATACGAATGGAGATTATAAAGCAGACTACAAAGATGAGCACAATTAGTCATGAAAAGAGTAGCCTACCCAAACAAATAGATGGGAGAAAACTTACCTAATTACCAACATGCTAACTCATGCTACAATACAAAATAGTACAGTTTGTCTTTTTTTTTCCTGCTTGAATTTTTTTTTCTCTTTTTATTTTTCAGTGCTAAAGAGGCTAACATCACAATTGTTGCTTCTACTAACAATAAATCAACAAAATAACAATTTCAAACTACAAACAACTCCACATATATGCAACTTCTTCTTGTGAAATCATGGACTTAAGCACATGTGTGAGAAATGATAAGCATCAGTCATTGAATAAAAGATCAGAATAGTTCCTATACTTCTTAGGTTTTCCATAATAGTCCTAAACTTTTCAAATATTCAATTTAGTCCCTCAACTCACAAAATCGGAACCTCCATTCAATTTAGTCCCTCAACTCACAAAATCGGAACCTCCTCCATCTTCTTTTTCACTTCTCTGTACAAAAAATGGTGAATGAAAGCTATTAATAAGACAATTTTTTAACTTCTCAGGGTCAATCCACTGAGTTGAGCTTGTATTGAGAAGTGAGGTAGACCCTAAAAATTAAAAATTCAAAAATTGAAAGCTTCTGTCTATCAATTTGAGTCCAAAAAAACCACAAAGTTAACTGTAGGACTAAATTGGTTTAAATTCATTGAGATGGGGCGCTAAATTAAATGCCTGAAAAAATCTAAGACTAAATGAACGAGCTTAATAGCTTTTGGGCCAATTTGATAATTCATTCTCACATATAGTAGATGCTTCAAAAAGTTCCATTTCAACCATATTCTTCTCATGTAGCATAAACACAAAAGCCGTTTTCAAAGCCATAAAAGAACATAATTACAACAGAGCCTTGGAAGTTCAGTCCCTGCATCCTTTTACCACTCATTTATGATAACAGGTATACTCGCTGTCAGTCCTACCTCAATAATTTACCATTTAAAAAAATATCTTTCGCATTGGCTAGATTCCCCTACCTCCGTAGTGCTTCCTACACTCACCCATGCCAGCATCTTTACCATTTTGATCCTGTACTTTATATCATTTTCTCATTAAAAAAAGCCTCTGAAAATATATAACTATTCCTTTAAAACAAGCCTGGTAAAACTCTTAATTACTGAGATAGCTCCATCAGCTTATTAGCTCAGTCTAACTAATGTTAATCGATCCTTGATCAAAAGAAAAACATGTTAGTTTCATGCATAGCACAATCACAGAACAAGCTTGATGATGGCAAAAGTATTAGACATGTGATGTTCAATAGCAGTTATTTAGTTCTGCATGAATTTAAAACAAGATCACTGCCACTTTAGAAGGGATTAACAAGCTGTTCTAAAAAGTGTGTTGCTCATAACCATACTCTGCATATGGAGAGCACTAAGAATCCCAACTTTCGCTCACTAGTGTAGCACAAACTGCTGCTTATTTTGTGCACAGGATGGTGGGAAGGCCAATGCTCACAATCTACCTCAACAAACAAAGCATTAATCTTTGGTTAAGGTTCCACGTCCCAAATTATCATTTTGCACAAAGGTCCTTGCATGTGATATAAAATAATAAAAAATAGATGGTTAATGCCATATGATTTTATCAATGTAGAACAAAACAACTTTAAAAGTGATATTAAAATTATCACCAACAATATCTACCAATCATCGAGCTGGCACAAAGTTAATGATGGAAAAACAACAATAAAATTACAAAATTTTGTCTTACGTACCTCAAAAGTTCAGAATCAGCACGGATATCAATCTTTTCAGTCTCTCTGCGAATCAATGAATTAACCCGTAGTGTGTACGTGGTGATCGACTGAAGCAACTGTGAAGGATTTCCCAATGAATCAACAATTATAGCCTTAACATCATCGGGCACTTGACCTTCTAGTTCCATGATGAACTTTGCAGCATCAACCTGAGAACTAGGATTAATTCCAGTGCCTTCATAAGCAGGAAAAGTACTATGGATTTTCTCAATTAGAAGATTGGAAAGAGACTCGCACGCCAGTCTAATGTTTCTTTCTTGTGATGTTTCGATAAGAATTATATCATCTGATGATTTGCTGCCCTTTACAGTTGAATAAACAGCTTCTTTTTCACTGTGTAAATGGATATCATCAACAGAACCAGCAGTGCTGCCTGTATTCAACCTCTTAAAATCTCTTGCTTGAATAACATACTGATGAAGCCGTTTTTGGTACTCTGAGAAGATCTTGGCAGCCTCATCGCACTGTCGATCGTAAGCGTCTAACATCACCTGTTTGTGTCTTATTTTTTTTGAAAGACAAGAAAAAAGCAATCAATAAAGCTATGGTTATATTAAAAACAGAACAGGGTGCATGCAAATATAGAGAGAAAAAAAGAACATAAGGAATATCAACAACCAATAATTTTGTACAGGTTCACTCCACTGATGCTTATGCCTTGTTGTAGCAGCATGATTCTCAATGATTTGATTATAGATAATTAAAGCCCTAATCCTTCTTCTAACAGAACCACTCTGGAGAGAAAAACTCAGGTCAGTCCGTGACTAGGTCAGCCAAAAAGTAGGCTCCAGAACTTAACACAGTATTCCAATGGAAATTATTAGTGGAGCTATATTGAATTCGTAGATTCAGCAAACACCAATTCATTTATAGCTTTACATAATTCAGGAAAAAAAAACAGTACAATTTCCCTATTTGTAATCCTAATATTAAAGTAGGAACACGTTATTTTCATGTAACGAAGCAGTTCTCATCTACTAGCAGCCCGGATAGGAAAATATTGATGAACTTGAAGATTTAAAGAACGATTACCGCGAACAATTTCAGATATCCTCCGTATAACCAAAAAAGAGGAAATAGTAATAGAAAACCAAAAGAATGCATCTACTTCAGTTTATCAACAAGACAAGAAACGTGCTCACCTAGCACTGGACCTCTCATCAATCATTCTCTTCCGCTCCGACTCCTCCCTCGCAATATCCATCATTCGCGCCCTCAACTCCCTCCGCTGCCTCCTCACCACGCTTCTCAACCTCTCCGCCTCCTCCTCCGCCTGATCCCTCTCCCGCAACGCCATCTCCCTTGCCTCGATCGACAATCCCTCCTCAAACCCCATCCTTCCCATCTCCCGCTCCCTCCTCCTCGTCCTACCACCATCCGCCGGCGCCGCCAATCCGTGGACCAGAATATTCCGGCGAACTGTTCCGGTAGTTCTCTCCGACCGCACTCTCTGTAGGAGAAAATTCCAGACCGGAACCATATTCCCCCGGCAGATCTTACGGATCTGATCGGCGGAGGGAAGCTGGCCAGAGTATCCCATCTCCTTCTGGAGCCAATCGAGAATCTCCTCCGGCCTCGGAGTACCGCCGCCGCCCGGCACCTGCATCGCCGGCACCGACGACTCGCCGCCGGTAAGCATGCAAAGGTAGTGTGGGACAGAGAGAAAGAAGGTGGAGTGTTTTTGTAAATGATGGTGGGAGCCTGGGAGGGCGAGCGGGCCTGAACAGTGGAATGGATGTTTATGTTGTGCCGCCGGACATTATAGTTAAAAGTAACTGACGATTATGAACCGTTTGATTTGAAAGAGGTTGATTCTTATATCAAATGTGAATCGTTGATCTGATGGACCCCCTTTTAACTGAAAGAAAGTGTTGCCAGCCGGCCGTGAGGGTTATGCATGGTCATTGGACTCTAACATTGACTATTTAAATAGTTCTCTATTCCTTTTAATTGCCTCTAATTATAATGTTAATTGCATATTTTATAATAATTAATTGTGATGATTTTGTATGGTGCAATGTGTTTAGAGACTATAAGATAATATAGTGTGACACTTATATGATTGATAGATGTATAGCTTTAAATAAGGGTGTATTTGGGACAGTTTGTGTTTATCCAAATAAACCACTTATCTAGAAACACAACACGTATGGTTTGACTTACTTTCTGCGTTTAATGAAAAAACCAACTGCATTTTCAGATAAGTTGCTCAAACGCAGTTTTTTATCGGTGATGCGGCGTTTTCAAAACGCCGCAGCGGATAAGCTGCCCCAAACGAATCTTAAGTTCCACATCAATGCTTTGTCTTCATCACTCATAATGTTCATCCAATAACCCAATCTCTTTCTATAATACTTTAATAATCAGAGCACCAATCTTTAAATCCTCGTGGATGTAGATGACTTCCATCTCACCGAAAACAACTTTGATGCCATTGTTGAGCTCCTCCAAATCCTACGATGCAGGTTTCACGTGCACAATCTTCGAACCATTTATATTTTTATCGTCATTAAGCTACAAATATCATCTGAACTCCGCCTCGTTCCGCACGGTATAATGTGAATTTGAATACAAAATTCTTATCCATTTATCCAATCTCTCAACCTTTAAAAAGTTATCCACTAATTCATCTTTCTTTCTCTCTCTAACATTTCTTGCTTCTCTCTCTTATCCAATCTCTCAACCTGTATTTTATTCATTAATGGAATAAAATAAGGGAAGTTAAATAAGTGTTATGTTTTATAAATAGCGAAGTTTGGGTGCTAAATATACAAATTACAGAGTTTTGTGAGCTGTGCAATTCCCCCTTTATTATATGGCTACAAACTACATTAATTTTTATTTTAAATATTATATCCCATATTAAAATATCACTATAATAAATTTAATCCTTCGTGTTGGATTAATACATCAATATAAATTTTGCACTAAAATTTTGTTATGCATGAAGAACTCAATAAAATTATATTTAAATAACAAATTAATAGACCTACTTTCATCAAATAAATAAATAAATAAATAAATATATATATATATATATATATAGAGAGAGAGAGAGAGAGAGAGTTATATCTTATGTATGTAAATGCATTTAATATAAAATAAATTATGATATGACACAAAAATTAATTAATTAACAATATATTGATTTGGGGGTATTTACATACATCCATCCATGAATACACAAAGATGGCCATGCATAAAATTTTATATTATTTTCCTTAATTGAACCCACAGTTTGAAGTGTCTGAATTGAGCCTATTTGCCGAAGTGGTTGGATCGATCTGACATGTCTAAATGGCTTAATCAAGCCAACATGCTAGAGTAGTTGAATCAAGTTCATCTACCGACGCAATTGAGTAAAGCTCGTCTGCCGAAATAGTTACATCAATCTCTCCCGAAAAGACGGTCTAGCCCGCTTTTAAGAGGGAGACTATCAAAGAATGTCATCATAAATTGTAAAGACGTCCATCGACCCATCCTTAAATGCATCACTCGATATTTATAACTATGAATTTTCATACAGACATCAAAGGTACACGTTGAACCAATGCTGCCCGACACTTACAGTACAATTTTTTTTATCATGACACTGAAAAAGAGTGTCATAAATTATTACTTAATTCTTCATTGAGTATACAAAGGAGAGTCAAAATAAGATCGAAGAGTATTTTTCTGAAAGGAATCTCTGCAAATAAGAACTCAATACATTCCCTAAGATTCTCCCATAGTACTCACATTCATATATATATATCTTGCTCCCATTTAATACATTCCCTAATAAAATGAGTTCCATTCGCTAACGAACAATATTAAATTAAATACTAGAATTTTTATATATTTATATATCTATCCTCTATAATTTTTTTTTAGTGTGAAATTTACTTTTTACATCTACACTAAAAAAAGTTCACATCACATAAACATCGTTAGTTTAATGAAAAAACCAACTGCATTTTCAGATAAGTCGCTCAAACGCAGTTTTTATCGCTGATGCGACGTTTTCAAAACGCCGCAGCGGATGAGCTACCCCGAACGAATCTTAAGTTCCACATCAATGCTTTGTCTTCATCACTCATAATGTTCATCCAATAATCCAATATCTTTCTATAATACTTTAATAATCATAGCACCAATCTTTCTCGTGGAAGTAGATGACTTCTATCTCACCCAAAACAACTTTGATGCCATTGTTGAGCTCCTCCAAATCCTACGATGCAGGTTTCACGTGCACAATCTTCGAACCATTTATATTTTTATCGTCATTAAGCTACAAATATCATCTGAACTCCGCCTCGTTCCGCACGGTATAATGTGAATTTGAATACAAAATTCTTATCCATTTATCCAATCTCTCAACCTTTAAAAAGTTATCCACTAATTCATCTTTCTTTCTCTCTCTAACATTTGTTGCTTCTCTCTCTTATCCAATCTCTCAACCTGTATTTTATTCATTAATGGAATAAAATAAGGGAAGTTAAATAAGTGTTATGTTTTATAAATAGCGAAGTTTGGGTGCTAAATATACAAATTACAGAGTTTTGTGAGCTGTGCAATTCCCCCTTTATTATATGGCTACAAACTACATTAATTTTTATTTTAAATATTATATCCCATATTAAAATATCACTATAATAAATTTAATCCTTCGTGTTGGATTAATACATCAATATAAATTTTGCACTAAAAATTTGTTATGCATGAAGAACTCAATAAAATTATATTTAAATAACAAATTAATAGACCTACTTTCATCAAATAAATATAAATATAAATATATATTGATACGATATCAACAAATTTTCATCATCAGCACGAATCTCGAGACAATATTTTGAGCAAAAAACATTCAAACTTCGATTACGAGTCATCCGGAACTCCGATTTCAGCAAAATTATAATCAAACTGATCGGCTCGATGAAACGGACCTAATGATATAAAAGTTAGTCCAATCTAAGTCAAATCAAGCCTGGATCAAGTCATTGAACTACTACTGGAGGATTTCCAGAGGCATTTGAAAGGTCAAAAGGATGTCGAATCTAGCGAGTTTACAGTCAAATCGAGCGTCTTGAAAAGACGAATCCAACGAGCCCAAGATTGCTCAATTCCGACATCGTTAAGGCACTCAAATGTCTATCAAACGTCATCTGATCAAGGGAAGCTCTCCGGACCGTCCGATCAAAATGGTTCATATTCCTGCATTA